CTGTTTGGGTTATTAGGTGGACTTATCTAGAAATCACAGATTTTGCTATGGGCCCTGTGATTTCTAGTTACACCCCTGATAAGAGGTAGAGCTTCTTTGAATAGTAATACTGTTTCTGTATATTGTGACATGTCAGAAATGTATTCATGCAATCTTGTAAAGTTACAGACAGGTTGTCTGTAAGCAGCATTTTCATGTATAAAGTGAGTCGGAGAGAAGGTATAGCATTTCACACACTGCAGTTCAGCTTTCATTTTTCTATAGTAGCTGCCTCTGGGAAAGAAACTGAAAAATTATTCTATTTACAAGCTGTCAAGAATCTAATCCAAACATTGATGTTACTTTTCATGTCTTTCCTTTAGCAGAGTCATTTTCCAGACAAACAAGGCTGGCTCAGCATATTCCTTCTATATCCGGTGTGGCAGTGCGTGGCAATGCCAGGGTGTCTTTTGGCAATATAGCCACCCAGGTCTCTCAGCCAGGGGGGCTGAGCAGTTCCAGAAAGTGCAAACGTTTACTGGGAAAGAGCTGGCTTTGCAGTTCTTCCCAGGTTTTCCTGATTTGGCATGGGTTCCTGGAACCGGGAGATTTCAAAGAGCATTGGGAGGGATGAAATCTCCATTCCTGGGTCCAGGCTTTAGGGGTAACCAGCACTGAAAGATTGTGCACCTGGGCACAGCCCTTATGAGAAGAATGCTGACTCATGTTCAGGGCCCCACCTGTGAGACAGGAGAACTCCACCCAGGAGTCAGAGTGGAGGCCAGTGCAGCAGAGTGCTGCGGGTTCGTGATACCTATTGTGCAGGTTAGCACGTTACTGGGGTTGTCTGGAGGTGACAGACAGGGGCCCTGGGGATTGAGGCCTGAGCAGCAGTGCTGCAAGAGAAGATATTAAAACTGTTACAGGACTGGGACACTGTGAGTGTGTGTGACACCTCAAGGATTGGTGAGCCCATATATGTTATATGCTGGAGACAAGCTATTTGTGTTGGGCTTCCTTTTACTGTCTGCCTTTTGAAAGAGAAATAAAGACTTTTCGTTAATGGAAAAGCTGTGCGAGTGATCTGTGAGCTCCCCAACATTACACCGGCTACACACAAATCACACTTGGGATGAGGGCCGGCATATATTCATGTTGAATGAATTTCTACATTCAACTCCAGTATTTCCATGTAAACTAAAATCTTCTGTAGCAGCTTCCAGATCTATGAGATTGTTTGCTGCATGAGCTATAATTTCGCGCTGAAGTTGCTAGAGGGCCAGACCATTATAAATAGGGAAGCAGGTTGTTTACCACGACAGTAGAAGTGATTTTTTTTTTCTGAAGATATGGGTAAACAACGCGATTTAACAGCCTTTGAACGTGGGATGATTGTTGGCACGGAGCCATGGAGCGAGTATCAGCAAAACAGCAGAATTAGTTAAATTGTCAAGAGCAGCTGTTGTTAAAGTGTTTAAAGACTGGACTGTCAGCCGAAAATCTGGGTCTGAACGTGCGAATTGTGGCCGTCAGCGACTAGTCAATGTTAGGGCAGAACGGAGAGTGGCAAGACTGGTACAAGACAACAGAAGGGCAACAGTGCAGTGTCAGATTCCTCGCATCACCTTTCAACATCTCGTAGAGTCACGAGGCGGCCCAACAAAGTCATCTCGTGGCCCAACGAAGTACTGATGGGGTGATCATAATAATCTGGCCACTCAGTGTATATTACACTGGAATTCATAAAGAATGTCTGTGATGACTCTCCTCACTGCACCTCTGCATGACAAATGTTGGTGCTTGCACCAAATTCCTGCACTTTTTTTGCAGCAGGTACATGAATTTGGTGCAAGCACTGACATTTGCGGTGCAGAGGCGCATTGAAACCCCGAGTGTCCATATCGGACACTCCATTCCCTGTGCAGCTCAGCAATGATGAGCCTGGTAAAATCACAGATTCAGCATTACTAAACCTCCATCCGGCCACTGCACCTGTCACACAGGCAAGTTCTGTGGAAAACTAAAGCTGGCCATACACCTATAGATTATCTGCAGATTTTCGGTGGTCAGATGGAAAAAGTCAAACAGATTCCTCCATCTACACTAAACTGCGTGGATAGAGGATTCTGCCGCTGGGCCAAGCTTCAGTATCTTGCTAGTCGGCCCCGCTGGCTCTCAAATTACCTGAACAATGCCTGCATCCAATCAGATTGTTCAGGTATTTTGGAAGCTTGGCCCAGCGGGGCCGACTAGCAAGATACTGAAGCTTGGCCCAGCGGCAGAATCCTCTATCCACGCAGTTTAGTGTAGATGGAGGAATCTGTTTGACTTTTTCCATCTGACCACAGAAAATCTGCAAATAATCTATAGGTGTATGGCCAGCTTTATATACTGTGGGTGGGCAGGGAACTGAGTAGCCCAACAGGTGTGCTCTGCTCAATTAAATGTAAACAAGGGGGATGCTGGCTGACGTACAATAATTACCCAAATATGGCCATTTATTGGTTATGATGTCAGCCAGCATCCTCTGCCCCTTTGTTTACATTCAGCTGCTGGCTGGGGAATCTCCTGGCCAGCGGCTGAATGGGGCCGAAGATGCATAATTGGTTGCTATGCCTCCAGCAGCCCAATGTCCTTTCAACCAATGGATGGGAAGCTGTTAGATTCGTGACAGCTTCTAGTACATACATCCACACACTGGCGTCTATGCTAGATCAGAGACGGTCTTATTTACCGCCAATTTTCCAATCTGTAAACTGTCAGATATTCTTTTTGAATCTGTTGCAGCCATAGCAACAGATCCTTAAAATGGCAGCATTAAGTGCTACTTGAATCTGTTACAAGTGTTGGTAAAGAGAAGGAAATTGGCGATAGGGCTTATTTGAATTTGGCGCAGGACCTTTTCAATAGTGTCTTTTCTGTTGTGTAATTCCTCATGTGTCTCTATTACATGCAACGTATTTTACCTTTCTGAAACATACAGAAGCAATCCTCTGTCCCTACTACATACATCTCTGTTGTACACAGTACCTCTTTTGCCTATGCCTCTGCCACATACGACATTGATGCTCTCAACTTTGACACATTTATGACGGCTTCACATATTGAAATGGACTGGTACTAAAATGGTTTCTATAATCAAGATGTAAGAAGATTACACAGGCTAACAACAGAACTGCAGGTCACCTGCAGGCAGGGCCAGATTTCCCACAAGGCCAACCAAGGCCTGGCCTCGGGACGGCAGGGAGTAAAGGGGCAGCAGGGTTGTAGGATTCCTATCTCCCGATGCCCAGGACATGCAGTTCCTAGTGCCGGGCGGGTAGTTGTTTTCTACATTTATCCCTGCTTTGGGCAAGCAGAGCTAAATGTACAAACGCTACCATTGAATTTGCAAGCCGTTGTTCACATCAGCCACGCAAAGGAAGATACAGGCAGAATCCCCAGGTATTCATTCTCATATTGCAAGTAAAATGGAAAAAGAAAGACATGACATAGATGATTTCACAGTACTCAAGGAAGATAATAAAAGCACCCTGGCAGCTGTGCCAAAAAGGCAAGCAGAGGGCAAAGGAATAGTGACCAATATTGCCTGTGATGCCATGTAGCTGATCCTCTCCGCGTTACTGACTTACCTGTACAGTCTGTGTCCTCCTATGACTGGTGATCTGAAATACTCAAAAAGCAGCAACAGAGGCTCACAAAGCACAGATCCATAGAAAGAATGAAGCAGGTAGATGCATGCAGTGCATCTGGAGCTGTAATAGGGCTGGTACTGACCCAGTAACCGGATCAAAATTCTATTGCTGGGTCATTTCTGGCAAGTTGCCACCTCTAATTTTAGGTTTGGAAATAGTAGTTTTAAGAGGGGAAGATAAAGAGGTTTTCTCTTTGCCGCAGAAACCTGCTCACATGCCAATCCCCAATGCAGCTGCTGTCCTGCTGATCAGCAGTTCTTTGGCTAATTAGCTGATGAAACCCTTTAACAAGAATATAGTAGCTGCCACTGCTAAGCTCTACATCTGAAAATGCTGGTTTCCTGGCTTTCGTGCTGGTCTAATGACTTAAATTCTTTCTTAGGCACACACCTGCAAAGCATCAGGAGTACTGGATTCACTTTGACAAAATCTATTACTCCAGAAAATGTAATCTTAAGCAGGGGTGTAACTACTGATCATGGTAAACTCTTGATGGGGCCCTCCTAGTGACTGACCTGTCTCTGTGGCACCTAGCAGTGTCAATTGTGACAATATTGTCACTATTCTAACAAAGTATTCCTAAATCAAGGAAAACGTAGTAAGTGCACTACATGGGGCCAGAGCCAAGGATAAAAGTTGCCAGAGAAAAGCAGCCGTGCAGGTAAATAACTTTTAACCTTAAAGGACAACCTAACATTTAAATTTTTGGTGACGTTGTCCTTCAATTAATCCCCCCCCAAGTGCATTTTCTACCTAACTACTCTGTCTTCATTAGCTACCTGGTCTTTTTAATCATATCAGATCTCAAAGTCTTAAGCCAGCCAAAATCAGTCATTTGTTCTCATTCATCCCCAAACTTAACAGCCTTGGGAAGACCTAGCCTAGACCCAACATCATTTCAATAAGGAAAAACCTGGATAGAAATGAATAGCTCTTGTGGACTGAATTACAATACATAGCATGGCTAACTGGGAACACTGTCCTTCTACAGTTCTTGCTTTTAACAAGAGACTCTGGAATTGCTGCTGGCCAAACACAGGCATAAAGCAGAACATTTATCTCCAGAGGCAACTGAAACCAGCCAGATGCTAATGGCTTATCACATAGAATATGTATTACTAAATGTTGTGTTCTGCCTGGGGCTGTCTTCAAAATAAAACCAACAGCAGGATAACATCAATCATTTTGAGTCAACACTGATGTGCCAGAAGTTTTTATTTGTGCAAAAAGCCCAACACCTGTATGAAACATAGTAGTTGCCTTTCCAAATGTTATTGTAGAGTTACAGGTGTCTCCTCATACAACATTTTACTTTTATATTCTATTATGTAATCGGGATGAGAACGACAAATTATCCAATATGGTTTCCATGAAGAACATGCCTTTAAATGTACATACTGCACAATCTGCTTGCACGCTCAGGTATAATAGGCAATGATATGTACTGCACACCACCAACATTGTTACAATGAAAGAACCACATACCATGAACGTGTAAAAAAAAAAAGAAAGCCTTTTCAGCAATGGAGGAGTGCATTTATTCTTCAAACCCCATGCTTGTGCTGAGAAGGTAACATAAGCAGTTGAAAACTGGTCATACTGCAACCATTTTCTAGAAAGATTTGTTCCATTTCCCGGGCCCGGCCAAGGCACACGATGCTTTGATGCCAGCAGAGCAAGTAACATGCCAAGGGATAGTCCTCCTTGCGATGAAGTGGAAACAGTTGTAAAAAGTCAATTTTAAGAAAAATTACCACCATGTGCAAAAGTGCTTCATTTGCAAGACTTCACCACTTGCTCGTAGGGTGGTGGAGGTGTGTTGTAGTAGGAAGGGGGAGGTGGAAATGCTGGGTTCCCTTGTGGTGAGTTCGGCTGCAAGTGAAAAGAGGGAGCAGGAGTTGGGTTTCCTCCTGGATCTGAGTAATAGGGCATCCCTGGCTGCGGAGGTCCTGAAATAAAAAAAAATAAGAACAGCCTATGGTTAAAGGATAGAGATCTGTTGTTTGATTTTTGTACCAAGTTTCTTTTGTCGAGGGACCCATTTGCTATCTTAGATACTTATCAAGTAGTAGAGTTAAGAAGTCTAAAACTTTAAAGCATATATATGTAGTTGAAAATAGATTTAAATTCTAACTGAATGCTATTTAGGGGAGCAGACATCAATATTGGACACAATGGAATACAATATTCACACCATACTGCATTTGCATTGGTATGTAATTAACACAATGGTAGGCCATGGTGTGGAGTTAGCGGTGTCTTATGAAGTTTCCTCTCCATAATGCTGCAGAGAACACTCTGATTGAAGAGGCTAGTCACATGACTTAGTCAGGTCATGTTACTGGGTTCTCCTCCTCCCAACCCTCTTCCCCTCATGATTCATGAAAATAAATGGGCTTTTATTGTTTCAGAGTCCCCACTGGTTTATAAATGTGCCTTTACCACAACTACTCTTTTAGTAAAATAATGCATCCTCCGCAGGAGATACAGGTAAGTTTTTTCCTGGATTAATGGGGCCAAAAATGTACAGTGGCCGGTTCACAGATGGTTAAAATATAGTTTCCTTTTAACCTGGCCACAAGATGCAATTCGGTCGCAGTTTCATTAAAAAATAATCCTGTCTTTAAAAGACACTGAGGGGAATTTATCAACACTGGGGCAGACAGAATCTGGACTAGTTACCCATGGCAACCAGTCAGCTTCTCTTTTCAGTTTGTCCAGTGAAGCTTTGAAAATGAAAGCGAGAAACGGATTCGTTACTATGCACAGCTGCTCCAGATTTTGTTCTGCTCCAGTTTTGATAAATGTCCCTCTCTGTTCTCTTTTGTCTTCATGACTCTCATGGATCATCAAAAACTTGAACCTTTGTACGGCCACTCCTCCTTTTCAGCCTATGAAAGCCCAGTTGAAGTCTCACACCTTTTTTCTCTGTATACTCTTTTAGTGATGTTTTTAGCTAAATTTCACTTGAAAATGCTTTAAAATGTTTCCCCTTACTGAATATGTGCTTGCTGTTCTCGTCTCAAATGCTCTGTGCTGGCAGAGCTAAGTAATGGCCACACCCCTTATCACAAGCATCCTTACACATACTCGTACTGCAGAAAAAAAGAGTGAGTGTGTCTGACCAGGTCAGTTAGAGTACACAAGACAGTGCAGTCAGACTCTGGTGCATACTGAACTGTGCTGTCATATTTCTACACACTGCACAACTGCCGTAACAGGAAAATGGACATAAGATAATGAATATAAAGTCAATTAAACTAGATTTCTTTTACTATACCTTTAATTGGGATTTAGAGGAAACGTATACTGGAGAAATGTATAAGCTGCCATTGTTGACCTTATGCCAGAGTATGTCCGGCATACTCTGGCTTCAGTACTGCATGAGTCACGGGCCTAAAGCAAGCAAACAAGTAGCTGCTATAGCATAAGTGTAGTCAGAACACATAATATACATAATTGTCCCTTGTCAGTGACACAGATCAGCCTTCAGATCAGCATGACAGCTTGGGAAATTGCAGGAAAAGTCAATTACAGCTTATATACTTCACCCAGTTTAGGTTTTAAAGCTATACAGGAAATAAGTTCCGTTACACAATAAAAATTTCCCCTTTGTCCTTTATGAAAGCTGTGCTTTCCCTTGGCATGATGTAGCAGAAAAGTTGGGCATGTACAACATTCTTCTATGTGTGAGGCACAGAATTGTATATTAGCTTTTTAGGAACTTCAAGGTAAATATTTGAAGTACATCTTTAGTGAAAGAAATATGAAGGAAATGTGTAGGGTGCCTGTCAACAATGGCAGTCCCAGTATTACTCTACCAACAGATTCCCCTTAAAGTGTTACATGGCTATATTTATTGAGTTTTGCAGCTTCTAATTCTGTTACCGTTAGACCGCAGTTCTTCTTTAACACTTACACCCTGATTTGGTCAATTAAAAATGTGTATACATTGATGTTATGCAGGATTTCACCAATTTTTTTCTTTTATTTCTTAGTTACAGCTTGTAGATAAAACACCATATGTTAAAAACAAAAAGCTGACCTAGTGGAGGCCCAGGAGTTTGCCTTGTGTACGATACATTAAATGTAGGTTCTTCAACAAGCAGAGGAGGGTACATTCTCCTTCTTATGAAGAATCCTGCTCCACAACAAAACAGAACTCCCATCATCAACAGGAACCTAGAGAAACACAGGAAAAATGTTTGCGTCATCTTTGTGAAATTCGTGTATTCATTTTCATAGTCTTATTATTATACAGGATTTATACAGTTTGCGCAGCGTTTTACAATATAAGGAAGACATTACAATCACAATACAAATTCAAGACAAGATGGTAACGAGGGCCCTGCACCTGAGGGCTTACAATCTAAGGCCCCATTCACACCTAGCGACATACCTTTTGCAGCGGCCGGGATATCGCGACTTTCGGGGCGACGTTCCAGCGACGGTAGCGCGACCTTCTCCGTCGGGCTTCATTAGAAAAAAGCAAAATCCGGCGAAAAAAGGGTCCTGTAGAAGCGACTTGCCACCGCGACGCGCGACATGGAGCTAAGACAGCTCCATTGAATATCATTTGCCGGCGACTTCTCGCGATATCGCGCGGCAAAAATGCGCGATAAATCGCTACGTGTGAATGGGGCCTAAAAGGGAGGGGCAAGTGATACAAGAGGAGGTAGCTGTGTGGGGATGAATTGTTTGAGAATGTGATGGTTCAGTGGTTAAGTTGAGGTGGGATATATTTATACATACATATTATACTATATATGTAAATAAATAATAGTATATAGAGTAATTAATATACAGTATATATACTGTATATTAGGGATGCACCAATACCGGTTTTTCGGTATCAACTACGAGTACCGATATTTATTAATTGTTTTGGTACTCGCCGATACCGAATACTGATACTGGAAGCTCCAAAAAGGAAGCCGGGCGGCATGTAATGACTCGCTGACTTGATTTATTTATTTATTTATTTGACAACCCAGGTGATACCGGCAGGGTCGAATTTTGGCTGATTCAACAGGAAATGCCTAAAATTCAATCCCTATATGGCCAACTTAAAACTGCCATGAGAGAAACAACCCTATTAGAGAGAAACTGTTATGAGAAATAATTCCCTAATAAAATGATAAAAGCACTTTGCTGTACTGTACTATAAGAGATTGTCCTGGTGGAGAAAGAAAACCCAGAAACATCTCTGGTGGTTGAGCAGTGGGTGGTACCATCTTGCTTGCACAGCTCTGCAGAAAAACTCCCTTGCTCTCTGGCATGTTACATGACGAAGGAAGACGATTTTAGCAGGTGCCAGACATCAGAGGACAGGAGCTTCTCTGCTAAGATCTGCATGTAAGTTTGGGAATGCTATTCATAGTGGAGGAGTATACAGGTGAAACTCGAATAATTAGAATATCGTGCAAAGTTCATTTATTTCACTAATGCAACTTAAAAGGTGAAACTAATATATGAGATAGACTCATTACATGCAAAGCAAGATAGTTCAAGCCGTGATTTGTCATAATTGTGATGATTATGGCTTACAGCTCATGAAAACCCCAAGAACCCCAAATCCACAACCTCAAAAAAGTAGATTATTACATGCAATCAATAAAACAAGTATTGTACATAGAACAATATCGGACCTCTGAAAAGTACAAGCATGCATATGTACTCAGTACTTGGTTTGGGCCCCTTTTGCAGCACTTACTGCAATTACTTTTGCACGATATTCTAATTATTCGAGTTTCACCTGTATGTGCTATTTAGAGGTGTCAATAGAGAAGAGGAGAGGTTGGGCAGTAAATGTGTGGGCACACAAGTAGGCTTCTAGGTGGTGAAGCCATAATGGTTTTACTTGTCAGCTGGAACCCTAACAAATATATATCAATGGGAAGGTACCTACCAGAAATACCATAGTCTCTGAATGGAAAGAGCACGTACACAGCACCTGGATCCACAGCAGTCTTCATATGCTCGACATCTAAAAGAAGAAACATTACGTTAAAATACCAACTAACATAAGGAAACCATATTATATCAGTGATGACACTTCTCCGAAGCACTTGGTGCACCTCAAGTTGACTAAGAAATAAATATGTTAACACGTATTTTAATATGTAGAGTTGAAATGTAGAGAAAGCAAACACAATTCACTTTAAAGTGAGATGCAATCTCTCCAAAGTGGTGTTTCTCTGTGTAGAGGGGGGGGGGGGGGGGTGCTCATTTGTCTCCCCCTTTCCTGCTCTGCCAGGACACTGCTTGGATTAAGGGTAAAATCCCTAGACCTAAAGGGCCTGGTATGAATTTGTAGGAGAACCCCAAACTTTTTTTTTTACATAGAGGCCTCCCCTAACATTCCTACCAGATCTAAAGGGTCTGGTATGTATCGGGGAGGAAAACCACATGTTTTATTTTCCTTCAAATTTTTTGGCACAACAACAGTAGTAATTCGACAGACTATTCTTTCTGCTCCGGCTGTGTGTTCAGGTTTGGTGAGCCGAAGCCTGTTCGTTCAACTTCTGTACGCGCTTTGAGAATAGCACATGCAGCAGCCCTTCGGTTCGGCTAAACTGAAGGGTTGCTGCAGCCGTAGCAAGCCGAAGGTTCAGCTACATCCTTCGGCTCTTTACTAAATAGCCCCCCCCCCCCGAACCCCATTGATCAATTGTGAATATTAGTCCCTCCTCATCAGAGGAATCAGCATTTTGTACATTGGACTTGAGACTGGTTGCATGTTGGCAAAAGGGCAAGCATATACTGTATATACAAAGCAACAATAATGAGTTTCAATGGGCGAGCCAAAAATGTTTTTATACAGTGGGATCCTTTTTATAGCCTGCCTTGAATCAATAATCATTATTATCTGATGAGCTCCTGAAGCAACAGTCTACTACCCTAATACAAAAAACATAGAATGTCTTAGGGTAATGACAAAGTACAAATCTCAATCACATGAGTAAATTGAAGATCTGTTTGTTGACTGTTATGTTATTACTTTACATGAAAACACTGTGTAGTATTTTATATGGCTAGAGTACTGATGATTTTTCTTATTTAAGACTAAAATCTTAGTCAATAACATAAAAAAGTCAAAGAAAAACAATGCAACTGATGAAATAATATCTGTGTTTGGAAGTACCAAGCGACTGTCAAAAACAGGTTATTTTTAGCTTTATAAAGCATGCTCATTTTATCGTGCTGTTTCACAGAAGGAAGGCAGGCGGAAGGAGCAGAGGTGGACTGATCAAGCACTAACGTTCAGCACTTTCTACACTAATCCTGTATATGTCATTAAAAATATATGCTCAGCAATCCTTCAAATGGCCCCCTCATAATGTTTTTTTCTTTTTCAAACCACAGCAAGGCTTAAAAGTGTATGTTAATTGCAGAGTAAAAATCAAAAAACTTTAGCATATATATACTATATACACAAAGACAGCCAGAGCTGGCAATTAAGTGAAGGAAATAGGAGGCAATGGCTCCCCAAAATGAATTGTGTGCACCCCCTCTTCACACACACACATGCCCTTCATATGGACATTACTCTTTTGTTAAATTTGTTATTTAATAGTTTAATAAACACATACATGACAGGTCAGTTTAGTCTATTGTCTGATAGAACAATATAAAGTATACTAGGCTCTAGTTCTGTGGTTCTACCCTTCAGCATTCGATAGGAGGCAATCCTGAGCCAGGTGAGTAATGTTCTAACATACTCCCTATGACTTGAAATAAATGTATATGAATTCACTTCATTCTAAGATCTTCCCAGTGGCTACTGTGCATCCTAGATACATCACTAATGACTGTACATCATACAGACTGTAGAAACCTATTAGCTTCCCCCCTAGCAACCTTATGATTTGTGATACTGTATATCACTTATCTTCTTTGCCCCGGCACTGCCAGGCTTTCCCTCTCACTTGGCCGGTGATGATTCCGGGATTCTTGGCGGGCTTTGCAGCCAATTATGTCATTGGCACACGTCTCTTAAAGTGGTCACACCTACTTAAAGAGCTGCGTTCCAGCATCCAGCGCCCGAGCAATATTCAGTTGGAGCTCCTTCATTGTTGGCTTGTATTGCCTATTAAACCAACTTACCCTGTACTGACCCATTACCTGTATTCTCAACCACGTCTTTGCCTGCTACCTGGGCTGACCCTTTGCCTGCTTACTGACCACATCTCTGCCTGCTGCCTGGAAGGACCCTTTGCTAATATACTGACCACATCTCTGCCTGCCACCAAATCTATTCCTTGGCATCGTTCTGGTTCATCTTCAGCTTGTGCGGGTTATTCTCCACACAGGAGCAGGGTGAACCTGAGGGTCACAACCTGGGGTCAGCATGCAACCAAGTCCAAACCTCCATGAGGGATTCCCTGGCATAGTACCAGCTGGCCCTCATATTTCGCACCCTAGGGGATCTCACGTCACTTGCTCACATCATTCAAATTTGTAACAATATAGTTAATATTTCTAAAGCAGTTAAAATATGTCTTGACTTTAACATCACTTTTGCAATGAATTGATATGTAATGTATGGAGCGAATCCCGACGCCCGAGACATGCAGTTTCGGGCGCCGGGCGAGTAGTAGGAGCCACTGCTCGTTTAATACGAGTGATCTAACGAGATCACTCGTATTAAAGCCGAGCAGCGGCGGCGGCGATCGAGTTCAGCAGCAGGAGCCACTGCTCGTTTAATACGAGTGATCTAATGAGATCACTCGTATTAAAACCGAGCAGCGGCGACGATCGAGATAACCATAGAGCAGACGAAGAATAGACGTTCTTCGCCTGCTCTGTGTCATCACTGAGACCGTGGCGCTGTAATCACAGCGCCACCTGTCTCAGCGGTCACTAACTGCAGCTTCTGTCACAGCTTCTGTCATAGAAGCTGTGACAGAAGATTGACTAAGAAATAAATATGTTAACACGTATTTTAATATGTAGAGTTGAAATGTAGAGAAAGCAAACACAATTCACTTTAAAGTGAGATGCAATCTCTCCAAAGTGGTGTTTCTCTGTGTGGAGGGGGGGGGGGGGGGATGTTTT